TTTTTTTTTCAGTGCTGGTGATCAAACCTAGAGCCTGGCCCAGGCTAGGCAAGCAATATACCACTAAGCGACACTCAGATTGGAACTACCATTTTCAGATTTGTTGATATTTCTTTGTAGCTCAGTATATGTTCAATTTTATTATGATAAATTTTACTATTCACATCACATACATATACATGCATAGATATGAGGGAATGGCGGTATTTAAAACATTGTGGCTTTCTCTAAGTGGTAAGATTAAACGTAATTTTTATTTTTAACATTCCATCACGTATTTCCTTTCATTACTCCCACTCATAGGGCTTTGGTCTAGACTTTCATTTTTCTCAGTTAGTTTATTGCAACAACTTTACATATACCTCATCTTTAATCTCCTTCCTTCAATAAAAATTCCACTTGGTCTCTATAAATAACTTTATAAACTACAAACCTAACAGATCACTTCCCTGCCTATGTGTTCCGCAGTCGTTTTCTTTTATCTCCTCCCAGTCTCTCTCTCTTACATCTATCATAATCATCACACAATCACTCCAACATCACCTTCCTTCAGACCAAATATCAGTTTCTAAACTGATCATAGCCGGTTCTAAGCCAAGATTTTTTTCAGGTCTTGCTCTCTATCCTCATTTATTGCTTACACACACACACACACAGCCTTATTTTACATCAGTCTTTCTATATAATTTACCATTTCCAGAAGACTTTTCTCTCTGCCTAACAATGCCACCTCAAGATTGATTTCACACAAGTATGATAGATGCCAAAGGTATTGCTCTTTTTGTACCCCACAAATCCTTCCTAGACAATGGTGACGATGCAATCTCGGGGCAGCACATAGATATCTTTAGGGCTTGATTTGGGATTAGCACACAATCACTTCCAACACATTTATGGCCCCCCCAAAAGTCACTAACTGGTCTAGAATATAAAAGAACCAACCATACTTTTTGTTGGAAGTAGTTGAACATACGGCAAAGTGTGTGATTATAAGAAACAATGAATTGTGGCTGTAAGATTTAGAACATAGAAATTTCTGAACAGTAGACACTAATGGTAACTAAGTTTTGAAAAATCTTCAATGAGTCTTGAAAGACAGAAAACAAATTTTAAAATAAAACAACCAGACTGAGACTAACATAAGTATGACAGCACTGAAAAAAAAAAAAACCACAGAAAGTAAAACACTTTTACTCTAAAATACCAACTATAGAAATCAGGAAGGGAGGGCATGGACAAGGGGAAAAAATGAGAACCAAGACCTGTCATGTAAAGGTACAAAATCCCAATAATGAATGTAACTGTACTGTATACCTAAAATATACCACTAAACTCACTGAGGAAAAAAAATCAGATTATCAAAATAAGATTTCTTTGGTATATTAGACTCTCCAAGTTTCTACCATATTCTAAATCTGTGCGGCAATACTTGATAATGTAGACAAAAGGTGTATACAATAAAAGAGACACCTTACTGTATCATGCCATGCCCTACAGATACTCACAAGTACCTTTTGTTTAAAATAATGTTAGAAAAGATTGAGGAACTTATTTGATTCCTATTAAGGAACTACTAAAAATTTTATTTCAAGATAGTGACAGGATCAGATTTGAAACATACCTTTTGTCTACATTTTTAATTGTCATAGCTTGGAGAATAACCTAGCAGGAAGTATCTTATATAGGTTTACTTTCCTATTTACAATGCCATTCATTCCCAAACTCTCCTTGACCAAACAAGGCTACTCAATCATTTCTTTTTAGAACACTTACCCACTACCCACATCACTCTACAATTGGCTTAGATATCTGAGCTTTTCAGAGAACTCATTAAGTTGCACAATTGTTTGCTCCATTGGATTATGAATGCTTGCTTCCAGGAAGAATAGGCTTTATCTTTTTCTTCTTTGCACAGTGACTGACACACAGCAAGTATTTCCACAAATGTTTAATAAATCAACATTATGCACATGGCCAGTGAGAAAACTGTTTATACAAACGAGGAATGAAAAATACAGTGAATGTTTAAGTAAAACCTTATTAAAGAATACACTGACAAGAATGATGGAGTAGGTGTGCCTGAAGCAAGAGAATTTTGTGGGAGATTAATGGCAATGTGTCTTGTTTTGTGATAATTTTTTGAACATTCACTGTATTTTGTGAGCCCACCTCATGGACCAACCAATTATAGCAATTTCTGTCAAATAAAAACACTGCGGTATGCATCCCTCTGCCTTATTCATTAGCTCTGGTACTGTGTGACTTCAAATTCTCCAAATTCAAAATGAAAAGTAAACATGTATGGATTCAAGACATCGAAGGATCCATGACAGCACAACAGATGAGCACAAAAGGGGAGAAGAGATATACATATTCTACTGTAGTAAGTTAAAATTTAAACATTCACCGCTACTGTTATAATTTTAACATTCACCTTGTTTGACCACGCCTCATATATGTGTGGAAGTACATAAGGGCAAGTAAAGCCAAAATACTGTGAAAACATCTTCGTAGGGAAGTCGACCCTTCACTCCCCAACTCTCAAACCAGGAGAATACACTCTACAGCAAGCCCAAAGCTTCGCGCCGCAGATGACGCAAAAAGCCGAGAAGCCCTTCCAGTAGCCGATTAGGCTTCCGGCTTTGCGACACCGGAAAGGGCTGGAAAGTTCGTCGCCGTCGGTTGGAGGGAGAGTCCTGGCCCCGCCCCCGCTGGTGGACTTCCGAGCTCTGGGCAGGCGTGTTCCAGGCTGTCCCGCCCAGCGCTGCGCGCCGGTTAACATCCCGATCCCTGTCGTGGGTACTATGGAGGCGGCAGTGGAGGGAGAAATAGAAAATGATGACGGCGACAGCAGCTGCGGGGATGTGTGCTTCATGGACAAAGGCCTGCAGAGGTAAAGGGAGTCCGCGACCAGGAGCTGGACTCCCGGCGCCGGCGAGGACGACTCCTGTTTTCCTTTCTGCCTCGGGAATTCTCAGTGCTCTGTTTGAACTTGCTCCAGCCCGCGGTTCTCCACCAGCCTGTATCCTGTCTTCTGCTGCGCCTACTTTTCACGGTTATTACTTTGCTTGCCCTTTAGTTGGGATCTTCTCGTGTTTTCTCTTGCCTTTCTTTTTCCCTGGAGAAAAAAAAAAAAAAGTGACAGTATAGCATCTCTGGCTGCCATGCAGGGAGCGCCCGCTGCTTCTTAGTTGGCTTTGCCTAGATTATCTTTACCCCTCTTTTAACATATTCTGTACAAACCATTGTACTGCTTATATTTGTATACTTCTTGAAAGTGCATGTCTTACTTAATTCACCTTTTCTGCCCTATTTTGCCCAAACTTGTAATTTTTCCCGTAAGTGTTGAAACTGAAACTTAGAGAATCTAAGCAATTTTTCTAATTTCGTGCAGTTGGTGAACAGTTAAGATTCAAACCCTTTTTCTAATTTCACTGACTGTTTTTTTTTCTATTATCCAACAATACCTGCGTAATATTAATTTCCAGGAGCAGCAGTATATCACAGTGTTAACAAGATCTGGCACTAAATAAAGAGTTCAGTAAGTTACAAAAACTAGACAGCTGGCAAATTGTTCTAACAAGGAATTTCGAGTTTGACAGTTCCAATTGCTTTATTACCAGAATTAGATTTCTTGGAGTTGTATTATAGCTGATACAGAACCTACCACAGATGCCCATGAACTTTCATGTCCTTGTTCCTTTACTTCCTGTCCTGTACCTCTAAATTGTGTGCACTGTAGTTTATGTTTCTGGATCTAACCACAGGACAGGTTCCAGTTAATTCAGTAACTGAGTGAGTGAAGAGATGAGTTTTATTCAGGGGAGGTATATTCCAACTTGGAATTGTGGAAGACCAGGGACTTTGTCAGTTCAGACAGCAATAATTAATGGTTCCTTGAAGATAAACTACAATCTGTATTAAACAGCCATTATAGACAGTAAAATGTGTGTGTATGTGTGTGTGTGTGTGTATGTGTGTATATATATAAACTTTTTTACCTGACATGGTGGCATACACTTGGGATCCTAGCACTCAGAGGCTAAGGCAGGAGTATTGTTACAAGTTTAAAGCCAGCCTGGACTCAGTGAGTTCAAGGACAGTCTGAACTACATAGCAAGATCCTTTGTCAAAAAACAAAAGTTGGGTGATGTAGCTCAGTGGCACTGCACCTGCCTCACAAGCATAAGGTCCTAAGTTCAATCCCTGGTACCAAAAGAAAAAGACAAAAAATTTTTGCAACTGGTAGAGCTCTGCAGGTTACTTAATTTCCATAAACCAGTATTCCTATAATACCTGCTGCTTATAGTTGTGAGAATTACATGAGATAAGGGCATTGAGGCTTAAAATAGTTGCCATTTGCTCAACTAACTTCAAAAAAGAGCTAAATACAGATTTGAACTGGGGTGTTAGGATTCCAGAGCCTTTACGGTCATTGACTGTTCAATACTACCTTCACTCTTCTTTGCACAAAAAAGTTAGAATGCCTGGGGTCACCCACTTTTCTTGAATAGTCTGGTGTTTGTTTAACCCAAAGTACTAGTTTGTGTGGTTAGAAGCATTGGATTTTTTGAGACATTTCAAAGCAAAAATAGGAAGGGTTGCATTTTGGAAAGAAGAAAGTACATACATGTTTATTGTCTACATGCTATTTGTTTACTTTTAATTATTTGGCATGCTTTTAAAATCCGTTTTAATAATGCATATTTTCTTTTTTAGCATATCAGAGTTATCTTTACATTCGACCCTTCATGCCATCAATCTTCATTGCAATAACATCTCCAAGATTAAAGCAATTGATCATGTTTGGAATTTACGATATTTAGATCTGTCATCTAATCAAATAAGTCAAATTGAAGGGCTAAGCACACTGACGAAACTATGCACTTTAAATTTGTCCTGCAATTTGATTACAAGAATAGAAGGTTTGTGTTTTCTTATAATACTTTACATGAAGAAGACGCTTTGTCTGTTTTTCTCCAAATAGAATGAATATTATCATAAACTTTTAGAAACTGACCGTAAGACTCATTACACAAAAAGCTTTCTTTCTGAATAGTAGCTAGTTTTTAAAAACTAACTCGTTTTTTCAGAATATCAATAAAATTTGTTTTACTGCTATCAGACTGAATTTGCTTTGAAACAGTCTTATCATGTTGAAATGCTGTTTTTCTCTAATTCTTTTAAATCCTATAACAGCTATATTTTATTTTATTTCTAGGACTTGACACACTAGTTAATCTGACTAGACTGAATTTGTCTTATAACCACATAAGTGATCTTAGTGGTGAGTATATATACATTTTTTTTAATGCTGAATATTTACATGCAGTAGGTTAGCTCAGCATGTTAGAAACCTCCAAATAATAATCCAAGGTTTAGTCAAGGATCTCACCAAGACAATGTGCTTCAGTTATGATTCTTTTTTGTTACTGCCTAAGCCACATCTGAGTTAAAAATAGAAAAAAAGACTTGAGTGGCCAGTAGCAGAAAAAAGCTTGGATAAGAAGATACTACTTTAGTGGAATGATTTTTAAGTTTTAGATAGTATATACTATTATATAGTAGGAATAATTCCAATAGAGCATTCTACAGTGATGAAAATGTTTTATGTTTGTGCTGTCATATTGCAGCCAATGATCAAATACGATTTTGAGCCCTTGAAGTGTGCTGGTGCAACTTAGGGACTGATTTTTGTGTGGGGAAGGGAGCTGTACTGGGATTGAGCCCAGGGCTTTCCCATTGAGCTACCTTCCTATTCACCAGTTCTTTTTTTCATATTTTATTTTTAGACAGGGTCTTGCTAAGTTCCCCTGCCTGAGCTTGAACTTGAATCCTCCTGCCTTTACTCAGAGTGCTGGGATTGTAAGCCTGCATCACCACATAAGGCTTGAATCTAGTTTTACTTAATTTTGTTTTAATATTAATATAAGAAGCTAAACATGTAGTTAGTGGCTAATTTGTTGAACAGTATAGGTATCCAGCGTTCTAAAGATTTACAAATTGAGGATCAAATAAAATTATTTTTTCTGTTTAGTAACTCTTGAGAGTTAAAAATTTATCTATTTATTAAAATAATATAAGTGATTGAAGTTTCATGATTATTCTTAAAATTATCTTAGAACTAGCAAAGTTCCACTAATCATCTTTATGATCTAATTCAACATTTGAAAAATATTACTCCATTGGCTTTTCTTCTTCACTAGAAAAAGAGTGCCCTATGCTGTGTGCTTAGTGTATAAAAAGAGACAGTCTATCCCCTTAAGCTGAAGTAGCAACTATATTTTAACCTCTGTAAAGACGAAAATATGAGTATCAATCTTATCTGTTCCTGTTGTGTGATACTGAGCAAGGTATTTTACTCTTTGGATATTTTCTTATTTGGAAACTGAATAATGGCTAAGATTGTTCATTCACTCAACAGATACTTGTTGCAGATCACTATATAAAATTACTGTTGATTTTCAGTGATGAAAAAACTAACAATAATAAGCAGATAAGGTCTTAACTATAACAGGGCTTACATTATAGTTGGAGGAGAAAAACAATATCATGTCAACCCCAATTCCCATATGCCAAAGATTTGAACAGTAATCTTACCAAGAAGATACACAAAGGGTATATAAGCACATTTTTAAAAAAATGTTCAATGTCCTTAGTGATTAAGAAAATAAAAGATTAAAACCACAATGAGATACCACTTCACATCTAGAATAGCTAAAATTTTTAAATTGATGAAGTGCTAGTAAGATTGTAGAGCAACTAAAACTTACATACATTGCTAATAAAATTCAATATTATAGTCACTTTGGAAAAGAGTTTGGTAGTTTCTTTTATCCCAGAGAGGAAGTGTCCACAAACATCTGTATATGATTATATCCTTTTTATGTGAATATGTTTACATGATTATTTCTAATGTAAAAACTGGAATCAATCCATATATCCTGCAACTGGTGCTACAATTTGCTTCTTAATTGTCTCCTTAAAGCCCTTAAGTTAAAGGCTTTTCACTAGGCTGTGGCACTTTTGGGCACTAATAGAACCTTTCAGACATGGGGCCTTTTGGAGGAAGTTAGGTCAGTGGGGTGAGTATACCCTTGAAAGGAATATTGGAATTTAGTCCCTATCTGTCTATTTCCCAGTACTGTAACGATGGACTTGCTCCACATACCAACTATGACATACTGTGCCACAGGCCTATAACAGGCCAAGAGACTAAGGACTGGAACCTCTGAAAATGATCCAGAATAAATCAGTTGATTATCTCAGATATTTTTTCACAGTGGCAGGAAGCTAACAAAATTGGTAAATGTATAAATTATGAAACATTCATATAACGGAATACAATTTGGAACTGAAAAGGAACGAACAATGATACCTGCAGAAAAACAATTTAAATAGCTAAGCAAAAAGAGCCAGTCACAAAGGGCTGCTTTGTATGTTTTCATTTATATGATGTTTTGACAAAGGCAAAGTTAGAGAAGCAAAAATCAGATTATTGTTTGCCAGGGACGAAATGAGAGAAGACTGATTACGTAGGAACATAAGAGAACCTTTGTTTGAGAATGATGAAAATATTCTATAGTATTTCAGTTTTAACAGTAGTTATTATAGTATGTATTTGATATAACATAACCAAACTCTACACCTAATAAGGGTGAGCTTTAGTGACTTACATACCAAACGATGAGGTCTATGAAGAAAAGATACACAAGCCTATAAGTACTTATAGATCATTCTTAGAATATTAAAATGTTTTATATTCATAAATACTTCAGTAAGTAACTTCTGTGTTAATAGCATATAAAGACAGGCAAGATCAAGTTTTTCATGTAAGAAAGAAGTCTAATGTGCTGGAATGTAGCAGATGGGTAAATGCAAAGCAAAAAGAGGAAAGTAGGTTGAGGACAAGTCAGTATAGCTGAGTTTATAAGCAGGATAAGGAGTTATATGTTATTCTAATCACATTTTATTCTAATGACAATAGGAAGTCATTAGAATTACACAAGGATATGACATAATTTGTGGTTTGTTTTGTAAAACTGGGCTTTAAACCCAGGTCCTTTGCCATTATTTGAGCTTAATACTCCAGTCCTTTTTTATTTTTTAAGACAGGGTGTTGCTAAGTTGCTGAGGCTGGACTCAAACTTAGGATCCTCCTGCCTACACGTGCCCCCACACACACCTACACATATGCCACATAATCCCAGAATGCTAGGATTACAGATGAGTACCACTATGCCCAGCATAATTTATGTTCCTGAAGATCATGGCTGTTGATTAAAAACTAGATTTTAGGTGGATAGGAGAGGAAATAAAGGAAGCAAAATCAAAGATAGTTACAAGTTTTCTCTAGATTTACAGGTGATTGATGGTACTGCTGATTGACATAAAAAAAAGATTGGAAAAGGAACAAATTTAGAGATAGGGGATGTGAAATAAGGATCCTAAGTTTGAGAATACTGTTGAATGTAAATTTATATGCATATAATCTGCAGTTTACGGTGGGTAGTCATGGTTAGAATTATAGATTTGGCAGTTAAAAATGATGGTGTTTGTAACCATGAAACTAGGAAATTCTAAAGAGTTTGTAAAAAGGGGGACCTCGGAATGAGCCATGGGATGTTCTAAAATTGCAACATAAGAACCATAAACATAAAAAACAAAAGGAAGGGCTACTAACATGAAACAAGGACTTATAAATAAGGTGGTATGTGTTCTATACATTTACCAACTTGACACAAGGAATGTAAATATGTACAGAATTAAAAGGAAGGAGATCAAGAGGCAATGATGAAAAGGAATTAAAAAATACATTGTGTACATGTACCAACTTCCCACACAAATGGAAACATGTACTACACACATATGAATAATATTCAACATTTTACTTTTCTAATACATTGTTCATTAGACATATCCATTTGGAGTAAAGTCATATGAATACTACTTCTTTGCCTCAAAAGGAATTTTTCTTTCCTGTTGCAGGGTTGATGCCCCTTCATGGACTTAAGTATAAACTTAGATATATTGACCTACATAGTAATTGTATAGACAGTATCCATCACTTACTTCAGTGTACGGTAGGATTGCACTTCTTGAACAATCTTATTTTGGAGAAGGATGGAGAAAGTAATCCTGTCTGTCATGCTCCAGGTATGAACAACTTATTTATTTCTATATATTCATATATGTAGTAGCAGTTAGTCAAAAGTTTTTCATTCCTTAAAATTAATGTTTACAATTTCCTTTTATTTTTGTCTTCAGCCTTGCAATGTTTTGTCTTTAAAAACGTGATTATAAAAATAGGTTGTGAAAAGACAACATGGGATGAACAGATGAGTAATTGTATTTGCACACTTTTATATTTGACAAGTGAATGCATCAAAATGACATTTTATTATTATGATGTATAATACTATATAGATATAAGAAAGAATGTACAGGGCTGGGGATTTAGCTGAATAGTACCACACAAGGTCCTGAGTTCAATCCCATGACCAAAAAAAAAATCTCTTTATCTACTAATAGTCAGTTATCTCCAAGATAACAGTATACTAAAAGAGAGAATAGCAGGCTACCATTTGCATAAAAAGGCTATTGTGCTATCTCTTTGTTTGTATGTATATTTATATTATATATATATGTATGTATGTATTTGTGTATCATTAAACATCTAAAAATACAGAGATTACATATTTAAGGTCATATCTACGTGGGTTTGATTACAGAAACTAATAAAGTATTCTCTAAATAATGAAAAAAAAGAATAAGATAAGACTATAACAGCAAGAAGCAATTTAAATATGTTCAGGGACCATTTTCATCTCCAGAATTAAGGATTATTTTAATCTTACATCATTGCCTTTTCTTTTACTTTCCTTTTTAGTTTTATTTTAGGATTCCCTATTTTTAATGTTCATACAGAGATTTCTTTAACTGAAATACCAAATAGTTTCTCTGGTGTGAAAAACTATAATAGTACACAGGATCCTAATGAGATAATTAATAATATGAAATAGCAAGTAAAGGGCTAAAGGTGTAAGGAAAGTGGGAAGGGTGGGGGAAAGGTAATAAGGGAGAGGAAAAAAAAATATGAGAAACTGAAAAAATGGAAATAAAGTGTTTGTAAATGGGGAGGGGAGGAGGGGATGAAGGGAGGGCAGGGACAAGGGTAAAAAAATGAGAATCAAGACGTATTATGTAAAGGTACAGAATCCCAATGATGAATGTAATTGTATTGTATACCTAGATTGTACCAATAAAAATAAAATAAAAATACAGAGATTAATGGTATTGGCTAACTTCATGGAAAGGAACTGTAGCTGTAGATCAGGAAATGTTAGAAAAACTACCACATAACTTGGACTTTACACCATGTGAAGTTATTACATTATTAATAAATGATTTTACAAAAAATTATATATATATATCTCCATTTGATCTAATTCTAAATCAGTAAAGTTAGCAAAAAAGATAAGACAGACCAGACTGCTGTTTCTAGAATTCAGTTATAGTGCTTAACTAAACGAGAGAAACGTATGAAATATAAGTAAACCTTCTGAAGATCTGCTTGAGTATAAGTTTTTCTATAGAGATTGCATTTGTGATTCATACACAACTATGAGAAGGCTTTTTTGTAGCACTTCAGTGCTGATTATTTCATAGAAAGTTTATTTTTATCTTCTAGCAGTCTTGTCTCAAGAACCTTAAGTTTCTATAATTTGAGTTTTTGGTTTTGAGGTTTTCACTTTCTTTTTTAAATTAGGTACTTCTTTCAATTCAGTCCCTCCTCCAGCAACTTTCTTAATAATTGTTAGAAAGTTTCAGAATTACAGTTGAGCAAAATTGAAGTTCTTCTGTTAGTTTGGACACCAAATTAATGTTACTTCATGCGGCTTCTCATGTTTAATTGTCCTTAGAGAAAATAAATAATTTTGGATACTTGATAGGTCACATATATCTTAATTAGTTAATATGTAATTAGAGAGAGAGGAGGCTGTTTTATTAAAGCCTCACTAGAGAAATTGATTAAGTAGTGTTTATGACAAGTTGATTAGTTGCTTTCTCAGACTAATTTTGTCATTTGGGTGATATATACAATAATATAATTTACTTTTGAAGTAACTAGACTTTTTTGGTAATCTAAATTTTCATTTTGAATGATTTATTTCCAAGGATACAGGGAAATTATTCTCCAGACTTTGCCACAGCTTAGAATTCTAGATTGCAAGAACATATTTGGTGAACCAGTTAATTTGGCAGATGTAAATTCATCACGCCTTCAGTGCTTAGAAGGCCTTTTGGATAACTTAGCTTCTGATTCTCCCCTAAATATAAGTGAAGATGAGGTACAGTATTGGAGTTTTTCTGATATAAAAAATACTTTCAAATTTTAGTTAATAAATATAAATTTTAAAAGATTTTTGCTGTTCTTATTTTATAGATCATTGATAATGTACCACTGGTGACTCCACCCATCGAAGAGTTACCCACTTTGGAGCAGTTTCCAAGTACACCAGATGCTGTTTTGACGTCATTTTTATCTGTATGTCCACCTTCTGAGCCGGAGAAAATTAATCATGAAATAATTAATCAGAATGAGATGAAACTTCGGAAATTAGATGATCAAATTTTACAGCTTCTCAATGAAGTAACTTCATTCTGTTTTTCTAAGGCCCAATATATGTTTATTAAGAAAAGTAGTTAAAATATAAAATAAAAATTATGTACAAGCAAACCAAGCAGAATACTGAATGTACCAAGGCATGTATTATTGTTTCATTTTACAGAAGTAGGATTCTATGTAGCAGTAGTAGTAAGGAAGGGGGGCCTAGGGTAGCATACATTTTTCACTCATTTTTTGTTACTTCACATCTTTGTTATGTAATATCTTTCATTTGTTCTGTAATACTTCACATTGGTTTTGTCTACTCACCTTTTATGGAATCCTTAATAAGCTCCACATAGATACCAGAGTTACTTTGGCCTACAATCTCTTTAGTTTCTGATTGGTCAAAAATGCTTTGAGAATTACAGCAGGATGCCAAGTTCATTTACATAGTTCCTCTTTCAACTTGAAATTCCAACATGACATCCCCTGATCTCTACTTTCCTGAGCTGTTAATCACTTTTTATACTTGCTGCTTGGTCTCTGGTTTTTAAAATCTGTGAATTGCAGTTCATAGAACTTAATGCTCTTCAATCCCTAATGCAGTATTCTTGCATTACTCCATAGTGATCCCCCTTGGATGCCACATTTCCATATATGCAATGGATTATTTTGTTTACCTTCTGCCTAGTTGTCAGATATTAGCCAGAGAGACTGTTCATTCAGTATCAAGTTGACTTAGAATATTTAACAATATTTTGATACTCATTTTTTTTTCTCAAAATGAGGTGGAAGGAGTAGAAAATGCTTATGTACTACTGGCTATGGTTCAGTGGATGTTTAGTGATCCAAAATTATTATCATGTATATGACACTAACAGTACTAGATAAACAAAAAGTCTGCCTTCATCAATTGAGAGTGAATAAGATGTTGAAGAATCTATGTGTTAGAAATATCTGGGGATTTTAGTCTGAGACATATAGGTAGATAGTAATTTTTTTGTTTTGTTTTTGGTATCAGGGATCAAACCCAGGACCTTGTGCTTATGAGGCAGGTGGTGGCATCACTGAGCTAAATCTCTGGCCTGCATCATTGATACCATATGAAACTTTTTGACTCTTCCATTTCCTCAGGTTTCATCTTTCATTTAACTCTTCTACTACTATCAGAATTTACATTGAGCTTAATAACTTAAAACTGAAGTAAACTTCAGCATCTTTTTAGGGATATTCTTATTTCATTCTCATGACAAGCCAATGAAGTAAATAGTGAATAACATACTGTTGTCCTTATTATATAGAAAAGAAACCCAGGACTTTCAATGAGACATTTACCTAGGAGTACTCTTATTATATCAGTAAGACAAACTTGACTTCAAACCCAAATCTGATCCGCAGTTGTATTTTTTCCACTCATACTTCTTAATCAGTTATTCTTGATAACCAAGATTACTAGTCTATCTGGAAAAAAGTGGTTCACTGCTATGCATATTAAAAATAGCTAAGCAGAGAGCCTCTTGTTTACTGTCTTACTTGCCTAAGAAAAAAGTAAACACTGTTTGAAACAAATGATTTTATTTCAAAAGTCATAAAGTTATTGTGCTGTACTGTAATAACATTTCTTAAACATAGGACTTAAAAATCTTAATTGTGCCACTGATTTATGGAATTCTATGTATGAAGAGCTGTTCTGCTTTTATTTATTCCCCCAATATTTTATTTTAAAACGTTTTTCATGCCGGGTGTGGTGGTGCACGCCTATAATCCCAGCACTCGGGAGGCTGAGGCAGGAGGATCACTTCGAGTTTGAAGCCTGGGCTACATTGTGAGTTCCAGGTCAGTCTCAGCTACATAGGAGACCCTGTCTCAAAAAAACAAAAAAAAAAACATTTTCACCCATAGAGCAAGTTTGAGTTTCTTAATACATACAAACTGGTTACTTCTTAACATTACTACACTAATTTCAAGATACAGATCATTATCAATCTACCATATGTATCTATCACTGTCTTATGTTATATTTCAGAGTAAATTCAAACATCAGTATAGTGCTCTTCAAATAAGCATTAATTAGAGTTAAGCATTTTTGTTTTCTTTTGATTTAAAATACAGGTGTATTTCATAACTTGGCCATACATATACCTGTTACCCAAACTATGAAGATGAACATTACCCTAGAAAGTTCTCCTATCCTCCACAGATAATTAATACTTGTTGTAGAGCAGTGGTGGTGAACTTGTGGTATATGTGGTGAGCAGGGTGTTTGTATTATTGAAAGCTCTAAAAGGTTTGCCATCACTGCTTTAGAGACTAATAAAAACAGGACTATGTAATATGTGTTCTTTCTCATAAGGCTTTCATCAGCGTGATCTTTTTGATATTAGCCCATATGTGTATCAGTAGCTTTTTATTTTTGTATAGTATTCTTGTATACAAAAATAAATATTATAACCAGTAGGTTATTTTAGGTTTGTGATTAAGCTACATGAACATTGCTATACACATGTCTCTGTGAATATGTCTTCTTTTTTCTCTAACCCCTAGTAATGAAATTTCTGGGTTACAGGATAGGTGTATGTTTAGTTTTATATAAAACTACCAAAGGTTCTTTTTCCAATGTAGTGTCCTATTTTACTTCCACTAATGTGACTGACTTGTCCATGTCCTCACCAGTATTTGGTATTTGCTTTTACTTTAGCCATTGTACTAAATATATACTGCTGTTCACTTTAATTTTAATTTCCAATTACAGTAATTAATAATGCTATTGAGGACTTTTTTCACATGCTTATTATATATTTGTGTTTTTTGTTGAGTATCTCTAAAACGTGTGTATTTTTATTGGATTATTTATTACCAATATAATTGCTAATATATTCTGGATACCAGTATTTTGTCAAATACACCTTGTGTGAATATTTTCTTTCAGTCTGCTGTGCACATATTTTATGCCCTTAATAGTATTTCATAAGCAGCAGCTTTTAATTTTGATAGTCTTAATTTCTCCTGTTTTCTTTTATGCTTATTGTTTTGTGAATTTAAAAACTTTCATGTATCCTCAAGTAACAAAGCTATTCTGTTATGTTATTTTATGACAGTTTTAGGATTTTATCTTTTTTATTTAGGTCGGTCTATGGTAGGGATTAAAGTTCATTCTTTTTTTCAGATGTATTTTAAGTCATTGCACACCATTTGTGAAAAGGCTTCGGTGTCTTTATTTGAATGTATCAAATGACTACAAATTGGAGGATCTAGCTTTGAGCTTTTTCTCTCAGCTTTTGAAATTGTATTTTAATTTCTGTAGACTCTAATGAAAATCTTTCTCATTACTTATTCCTTCTATCTACACTCTCATCCCCACCACCCCAATCAGTTTACCTACAAGCTTTGTTGAACACTTAAGAAAACTTTTCGCTTTAACTTTGTTATTTTCTATATTGTTTATTTCTGGTTTTTATTCTATTTATTTTGAATTTAATTTGTTCTTTTTCTAGTTTATTGGTAAGCACTTAAGTCATTTCATTTTAGACCTACCTTCATTTAAAGCAGTATATTTTCCTCTGAGTATTCCATTAGCTACATTCTACAAATTTTGAGGTTTTGCTTTCATTATTTATTAGAAATGCTTTCTAGTTTTTCTTAGAATTTTTCTTTGATCCAAGCATTACTTTGAATATCTTTCATTAATTTTCACATATTTCTGCTTCTATCAATATGTCATTGGTATTTGACTTTTATTTTGTTCAGAGAACATAATTGAATTTCATTCTTTTTTACTATATTAAAACTTATTTAATATCCAAGCATATGGTCTGTGTGGATATTCTTTATGGTCTCATAAGTAATATCTGTTCCACACTTGTTAGGTGAGGATGTTTGATGGTATTTTCAGATTATCCATATCCTTAGTAATTTTCTATCTGGTTCTGTCAGTCTTATTTTTTGGTTGTGGGGCTTTTGTTTTTATTGTTTCATCTAGTTCTATCAGTTGGTGCATAAGTGGTATTAAAATATCTATGATTGTAGATTTGTCAGTTTCTCCCTCCAATTCTTTCAGCATTTGCTTCTTAGGCTTTGAATCTCTTTTGTTAAACATACACACATTGATGATTACTTTGTCTTTTTGAATTGACCCTTGAAGCACATTTTTGTTGGGTATAGAATTATAGATTTATGATTTTATTACTTTCTCCTGGCTTTCATAGTTTCAAGTACTAAGTCAACACTGTTTCAAATCCTTGATTTCTTGAATGTAGCAGTATCATTTTTCTTTGGCTGTTTTTAAGAATTTATCTTCTCTCTTAGTTTTTAGCAGTTTGTTTTTAGCAATTTGGCTACATGTACCTTAAGGATAATTTTTTTCTTCATATTTATCTTGCTTGCAGTTAAGCTTCTTGAGTATGTAAATAATTTGTTATCTTCACCCTATATGAAGACTTCGGATATAGTTTTTTGAAATAGGTTTTCTGCCTCATTCTATTTTTTGATTCCTCTTTGACTTTTTTATACTGCCTCACCATTTCCTGAGGCTTTTTACATTTTATCAGCTTTTGTCTGTATTCTTCATACTGAATAATTTTAACTCTCTCCAAGTTCTATTTTGCCTCATTATTCTGGTAGTAATCCCAGGGAATTTTTTACTTTAGAGACTATTTTTTTAATTATAGCATTTTATTTCTATTTCTGAGCTGCTTTATCATTTGTGACATTTTCTTATTATCTCATTGAAAATAGCTATAATCACTATTTTAAAGTTATTGTCTCCTAATTGAAACATTTGGGTGGTCTCAGATTTAGTCTGCAATGCTTGCCTTTTCTCTTCAGAACAGATCAGTTGTTTTTATGGTGAGTAATTTTAGAATGCATGCTGCACATTGTGAATGTTGTGGTGACTCCAGGTTCTGTTATAATCCTTCAAAGACCTACAGTTTTGTTCTTAGCGAGCATTTAATTTGATTTGCCTTAAGCTATAATCTTTTAAGCAGAAGCTCAAATTTCATTTTACTTCTTGTGTCTAGTAATGGGCTATCTGTAGTCTGCCCCATGCTGTACTTCTCGTTCTTCATGCACAAAAGTCTATATTTCTTACTGGTGAGTTAGACTCCCTCCGTGGTACCGATTATGATGCAGTAAGACTGAGAGGCTAAAATCCCTAAGAGCAGAAACACCTCATTCTCATCCATTTTTCCAAGGGCCAGCTTCTATCTAAAGTAATTCTTTTGTTCACTTTCCAAGGGCTTCAGATGGTTTTTGCTTAGGTTGTTTGTTTTTGTTTCGTTCCATTTGTATTTTCCTTGAGTTTGTAATTATTATCTGTAGGCAAATCAAACTGGTAGAAGCTTGCTTGTCCAAGCAAGAAAATGTCTTCTTTAATTTCTTATACAAGTAGTTTATTAATCCTGAGTCTTATAAAAAAGTCTTAATATTTACAAAAAATTTCAAGTTTTCACTTTTATGATGAATTTTATTTTTAACAAACTTTGTCTTTATTTTTTTACTCTAGACTTCTAATTCTTTATTGGATAATGTTCCTGAGAAAGACCTCAGACCAAAAAGAGACACAGATATAACTTCTGAAAGCGACTACGGAAACAGAAAAGAATGCAACAGAAAAGTTCCTAGAAGATCAAAAATTCCATATTATGCCAGAACTATCCAAAGTATTAAGCACCACAATAAAAACAATAGTGCTTTTGGAAGGTACTTGTTTTGGTTTTAGAATTCAAATAGCCAGGTTCGTTCAATCCCACACACTTATAATCCCATCATCTCTAGAAACTGAAGCAGGAGATCAAACGTTTGAGTTTGGCCTGGGCAACTTAGTGGGACCCTGTCTGAGCATTGTGAAAAAAGGGCTGGGGATACAGCTCAGTGTGAAGGCCTTGGCTTCAATTCATAGTACAAAAAAGAAGAGTGGGGAAGGAAGAGGAGAAAAGGGGGTTCCAAGTACAGGAACGTGCGGGAGTTAATTTGGCTGCTGTAAACTGTCTCATGATAAATTTATCACTTTACTAACATTAGAGACACTTCTTTTTGGATTTGTCATTTCTGATTTCATTCTGCATCCATGGTTACAACCAGTTGCTAATCAAAAGTATTTAAAAAGAAAGGTATATTGTTACATAAGGCCTACAATGGTTGCTCTATACTGAACATGTACAGACTCTTTCTTATCATTATTCTCTGAACAATACCATGTAATAACTGCTACGTAGCATTTATGTTGTATTGAGTATTGTAAATTATTTACAAAATAAAGTATACTTAAGGATATGTGTAGGTTATATGTGAATATTACACCATTTTATGTGAGGGACTTGGACATTTATGAATTTTGTAGCTGAGGTATCCTGAAACCAATTTCTGAAGAAGCTAAGGGATGACTGTATGCTTATAAAGATCACTTTCTCTGTCACTACCAAAGATGAGAAATTAATGTATAAATCTATTAATTCTGTTGCATTCTTTTACTGTGAGAAATAAGACTGATACACTTGAGTTTACATACTATACTTTTCTCTCTCTTTAGGCAGATTTAGATGGGAAACAAAGTCCTTGTTAGGCTGCACTTGACTAAGCTTAAGACAAAAAGTGAATAAGATGATTGTGTTTAATGCCTTCAGGGTAAGGGAGACTGATGTCTGTACATTCACAATTGAGATCATCATGATAGTTTTTCAGAAATGATTGTACTCTGGAATAGGTACAGTCAACTTTTTGCCTATGTAATCCTCCTTTTAAAAATGTATTGTTATTTTAACTTTTCTATAGCTATCTAATCATATTATTTATACAATCATTCAGTTCAGTTACAGTGAGGACATACCCTGAAATTTCTTCAATCCCTGGCCAGTAATGTAATCTATTTTCCCTGTTACATGTTAGTTTTAAACTTTAACTTCCAAAGGGTGATTACTGTATTTACCATTTTTCCAATTCTTCTATGTCATTTTACCATCGTCCCAAGTACTGACAGTGTTTTTTGAAATTCTGATATATCCAAGAATTCTACTCCATAGGAATGTGTTCAGCATTTCCACTTATAGACTCATTTTAATTTTTTTTTTTTTTTGGTACCGGGGAACAAACTTGGGGCCTTGCGCTTGCGAAGTAGGCAGCAGAACCACTAAGCTAAATCTCCTAGACTCATTTTATTTATTTATTTGTTTGTTTGTTTATTTATTTATTTTAAATTAGGCCACTGCTTTTTTTTTTTTTTTTTT